TCGACGTTGGCTATCCTCCCAGTTGTTATTCCCGTTCAAATTATTGAACCCGGTTTGAATGGCTGCAATCACTTCCTCTTTTAGATTTCGAGGATCATTACGACCGAACCTATTGTCATTTTGCGGCATGCACGGGTCGAAATCGAAATTTTGAAATACATCATGCGGTATTTCTGCATGTGATGTCGACAATGCTTGTATTGGCTGTGTTTTCTTTTGCGAGGCCAATGAAAGGAGTAAATTAACTTGACCTTCGAGTTCTTTAATGCGACGGTCTTGCACTGTTTGGGCCGAAAATGTGAGGGGCAGTGTTTTGCCAACAGAATCTTTCAAACGGGCCAAATTTTCTGCCTCTGCGAATGTTTTGGGCTGACTCAAAATGACATGGGTTTTAAGATCGTCAGTCAGGCCATTTATAAATATGTTCATTATATCCTTGTCTGGCAAGGCGAGGCGTTGACATTTCTTAATAATATCCTCGGTATAAACAGCGAGATGCTCCCCAAGCCCCTGTTTTCGGGAGTAGAGTTCTTGCCTGAAGAGAAATTCTAAATTTTGTGCTCCAAAACGATCCCTTAAGGCAGTGCAAAGGTTGGCAAAACTACCAGTGCCTTCATCTGGTAATGTTTGGTACCAGGCTAACGCGGGGCCTTCTAAAAGCAAAGTTAGTGCACCAAGTTTTTTGGCATTCGACCAATTATAAAATTTTGAAAAACGTTCAAATTTTCCAAGCCATTCATTTACGTCTTCAGAGGGAAGACCGCTAAAAGAGCGAGGTTTGAATAAACTGGACTGGGAATTCCCCTCGATAGCAGCTTGAACTGCCGTCAACTGAGTTTGCAGTTCTTGAACCGTTGCTTCCACTTCCATTGTTTACGAAAATACTTTTATGCGAATACGTCAGAATCCCGAAATAAAATGTTTACATACGTCTGATGCAAGAGTTAATCCAATTAGAACAACAACAGCTAACGGCACGTGAGTAAATACTACGATACAAAGGAGTGCTTCGACTGACTGGACTGTTCTCGAAACTTGTAAAATGCGGCAAAATGCACTCCAAATAAAAATGAACAAAATAACACTTGCAACAAATAAAGTCAATTCTCTATCTTCGACAATTCCTCACACGGGGCACCAATGTAAAACCACTTAAAAAGGGGGTTTTACAAACGTGAGTTCGTATGTCGTTCGCAGAAACGTACACGATAAATACTGCAAAAACTGTTATCCAATTCTCTATACACTTCTTCTAATTCATCAGTTCACGGCAAAGGACTAAAAATATCTTAAATGGCTAACGGCGAAAATGTAACGGCAAACACAATTCTGCTAGCTAGCGACAAGGTACACTGAGTTCGACAAAGCTTACGGCAAGACTCAACCTAACTATAAAGCCACCCCTTATATACCCTAAGAATAATACAATTTACAGAAGCTGATGCAATTGCAGCGCAATGATGCAATTGTCATGTGATGTCCTGCAATGAATGGGAACCCTGTGTTCTAACATAGCCCCCTCCTTTGAAAACAAGCCTCCTGGCTTGGTCTTCTTGTGGCGTTTCTTCTTCGCATTTATACAACATGCCTTGCAACTCTTTCGTTTTTGGTAATGAGAATAATGGTGATGATGATCTGCACAGATGTGATGGGGCTAACAGTATATCGGTGATTGACGTCATTTCTTTGAATATCGTTGTCAGGGGCGTTTTGAAAATTTCTGCCTCGTCGAACGCTATTGTTTGGCCCAATTGCTCTTTCATCAAGTTAGCAAGCTCCTTTGTTATGTCTTCTAACATGCGGAACAACTTGCACAGAGCAACGAAGGGTTCAGTTGTGGTTTGGGTTGTCATTCTTGTCCGAATTTCGGCTTCAAAAACTGGGCCCATTTTTGCATTCACAGGCACAGAAGCTTTTCCTTGCAATGGTTGCTGCTTCAACGGGCGTCTTCTGCAATATTTGACCACGTGTCCCACTCTTTTGCAATAATTGCAAATCGGCTGGTCGTCTGTGGTTCGCAGGTATCGATAAGTGCTCATCTTCTGTTCCTTCGGCACCAGATGTTATACTTGAGGTTGAACGACAGTGTTAAGTATAACATGAAATTGCGTGAGTTCTTACTACTTTAACAAATACCAATAAAATTCAGGGCTTTAACTTACGACCTTGCTTCTGAATCTTTACTTTAGCGGCGGCAGGAGAACGTCAGAGAGAGAAACGGCGACTGGTCTTTATCTTTATCTTCATCAGCGTCAAACTAGCGTCTAAATTACAACTTCTCTAAATCTCTAAACTAAAAGCTCAAATTTATATAAGATTAAACAATAGATGGTGCAATAAATCTAAACATCCAATAAAAGTTCCAGCAAAGCAAACGTCCAATAGGAAAAGGGGTTCTTGTTATTATTTGTCCAATCATAAGGTTTTTCTTCAAGTTGCACTTCGTGGTGCAATCCCTGACGGCCAAAATATACCATGACGTAACTTGTTTTGAGTTGCATGTCGTGGTGCAATCTCTCGTAATCTCGTCGTCCAATGACGTAATGTTAACTATACAACAGTCCACTCTTGTTTCTAATTCATATCAATGATATGCCCTTTTCCCTGCAAAGGTCTTCGATCAGTATGTATGCTGATAACAATAGATAATATCTCTGTCTCTTCAAAAAGTACTTACTGGCCTACAGTAGCCTATGCTCCAGACCCCTAACTTGAAAGTAGCTATAGATATTGATTTCCTCATTAAGATTTCTATGTATATCTTATCTGTATTAGCATACCATTGTAGTAATTATTTAGACCAATTAATACTATCAATGTTGGTTAAGAAAAACGACAAAAGTCCCTTTTTATAGTTTTAACACCACAATAGTCCCTTCTTAAAGTTTCATAAAGTTGAAAAAAAAGAATTTCTGATGTCAAAGGATGATTTTGCTTTGCCCATTTTAATAAGATATCCATATAAGGACATGGGGGTAATTAGACGTTGCGTGATAAATTGATGCTCATTTTACTACTTTAAACGTATTTCTACCAAAAAAGATAAACTATCCTTCATATTCCACTACTTAGACAAAATTCATTTGGTTAAAAATGTCATTCCAGCGACGTTTCTCCTCCGCAGGGGACACGCAGGAACTTCACTTGATTTAACCCCAATTTTACCCTAAAAACAGCAGCAAATCCCCGTTTACCATCACAATTCAATATCGCCAGTTGATAAAAAACTCGAAGCTGGTAATTAAAAGTTTCCCCGCTTCAAAGTGGCATATTGTCTCGTGTGCCCTGGAAAATTTTTCGAATTTACCTAAGGGACCAGTCTTTATTAATGGCGGCTGGGACATTTATCATTTACCTACCTTCAAGGAGTGGGCACATAAAAAAAACAAGCAAGCAAGAAGGGGACATGAAAATGTTCGTAAAAATTAAAAACTACCATTTCATTCAGAACAATATTACACTGTTCTAAGAATAAACGATGAGTGTTTGGGTGGCTTTTCAGGACAAACTATTTTCCAGAAGACTAATTACTTTAACCTCAGTGCTATGCTTTGCTTGTCAAGCTTTAGCTTTTGGTCATTTCTGTACATGAGGTGGTCTGATGGTCTGTCCAGCGTTAAAACACTGTCACTTGATTGAGAGCTTGAGTCTGAAAGCTGACATATTTTGCCCTATAAGCTGCATGAATTGTTAGCTGCTTTCCACTGTTTTTTTTTCTTTGCAGAGCTTTCCTTTGTGGTGTCTGCCACATACACCATCGTTTGTAATTGATTCTTGCTAGCATAAACTTGATGTCAGCTCTGTGCAATTTGCTGCTCAACTTGGAGCAAATGGACATCAAAATGATTTCCCCATTTATTTTGCTTTAGCTGCAAACAAAGATGCATCAAGATTACTGTACGACAAATTTTATCTGAACTGTGAATTTGCCATGATCAACAAATAGCTTGTAATACCAACTTGTTTCTCAACTTTTTACAGTGTTATCTTTGTATTATTTATACAGAAAATTTGTGTTGTCCTTCCATGTTTTAAGTGGGGACTGTGAAAACTTATTCTTGGATTTAGGGAGGGCAACATTGTAACTATATGAAATCGAGGGGGGGGGGCAATATAAAAACTGCATCCTTTCAGAAATTTATTCCGCCCCACCCCCACCAATGATAATGATTTGTCCCTAATTGGTCTAAAAACGTAAAAAGATAGGTAAATAAGCATATTTCAATTTATTATAAGACACTTTTTCGTTGTGTTTATTTGAATGCTATTAAAATGACTTCGATGGGAACGATGAGAAATTGGAAATATGGGGCACAGAGTTCAACATTTTCTGTTGGTGGTGTGCCTCGTGATGTGTTCCATGAAAAAGCATGTAGTCATGAAAGGTTAAATGACTACAAACTAACTTAAACTTAGATCTTTTGAATATGCAGTATTGACTACATGCAAACTAACAGCAAAACTGATATACAGTATTTCAATGACAATATTTAGCTAAGGGAATCTGGGCGCTTTCGAGCCAGATATTCCTTTAATTTTCGAAAATTATAGGAAGAGAACAAGAAAAGAAAGGAATTGAAAATTGATAGAACCGTTTTAAGTTAAGTACTTATCTCTATAGAGTGTACATAGTTGAATTTTAAAAATGATTTTTGTTTGAGATAATGTCGGATCAATCGTGACGACTGTCAAATAGCCATGTTTTGTAGCTTTTGATAAACATTTCTTTGGTTCTGTATCTATGATTTTTCTTGGCATTTCATTCCATGTTTTAACTCCTGAGCTCGCTATAAAACTTCGTTTACAGTTGGTTCTGTACGTAGTCTTACACTTTTCCAAAATTTTTCCATTGTTACAAATATTTCAGCTTAGTGAATCGTTATGCAAAAAGGAAGTATTTCGGTCACTACCATAGAGCAATGAGCATTGCGTCTATGATTGCGTCACACTTGATGGTCGCTACGAGGAAATATCCTCGTCATAGATATTTTTGGATGCGGAGGAGTGTATAGGGCCAGAGGTGAAGGATGAAGGATGAAGCTGCGGTTTCTAATGAAAAAGGATAGCACGATACTTGAGAAGTGTAAACAGTTTCATTTCAGAACGTGGTTTCTTTAACAAAATTTAAACAAACAAGCACATGGGGCAGTTGCTTTGCGTGTTCTTGGGCCGTGGATATGGAGGCTGAAAGCAGCAGCGTGTTGTGGATTGTTATTGTTGGCTTTTTGATCGCCTTTATTTTAGCTTTTGGAATTGGGGCAAACGATGTAGCAAATTCATTTGGAACTTCTGTCGGTGCAAAGGTCTTGACCCTCCGACAAGCTTGCATTGTGGCGGGCATATTTGAACTTGCTGGAGCGGTTTTACTTGGAAGTAAAGTTTCTGGTTAGTATGTTATGCGTTTAAAACAAGAGTCCTAGTGTTTAGCCACCTAAAATTGGTGATATAAATTTAGGCCACATGTAACTAAGCAAAGTTTAGCGTGACTCAATGTTAACGTAAACACGTGCGATAACGACGGGGGCATTAAACTATAAAAGCCTCTAATAATTGTTATTTCAGTCTAAATTTTGTTCATTATAATATATTAGAAGTTGCTTTATCTTCGGAACAAATCTCTACCGGCGTCGTCGGTAACGAGGCAATATTTTTCAAATTAAGAAATTTCCGTGTTGTTTTCCATATTCAACAAAACGTGTTTATAAGCATCTCTCTTACCACGCACATGATAGGAAATCAATAAAATGCTGGTTGATCACCATTTAAAATTTTTTTGCAATTGTTTTACCCCTTCTAGCACTAGAAATGGTTTCATTTCGATGTCGACGAAAGAAAAATATGGTTAGGTATCTCGGAGATGAATGTTGATTTAATAAAATAGATAAAAGGCTTTTTCTTCTACAATGTACATATTTTGAGAAAAAGTCAGATTTGTATGAAATTCATGAAAATTAAGTGCAAATCCTACAATTGTAAGTGAAGACCATGCTATTTGCTGTTGTGTGGTCTTCACTTAGAATTGTAGCACATGTACTTAATTTCCTGAATTTCATACAAATTTGACTTTTTCTCGAAGTAGGACGTTTCCTTCTATAAATGTACATATTTAAAAAAAATTATATTTGTATACCCAAAATTCAGGAAAAATCGAGTACCAATGCTACAATTGTAAGCGAATACCACACAACACCAAGTATATGAGTTGAAAACGGAAAATAACAGTTTACCGGGAGTTCAAGGTTTTCCTTTCCTGCTGCTAGACATACAATGTAAAGCTGGTTTATTAATCTTTTGCAAAACCTAACAGCAGCTCATTTTGGCTATTGTCTTAAAAGTATGTGTAAAATAAGAAGAAAAAGACATTTTGGTTGAATAGATGAGAATATTAAATGAAAATTGGTAGAAAGAATATTTTTAGAAGTCACTTGTAGATATCCCATATCAGGATGAACTTTACCCTGCTTGCTGGGGTGTGGTAGCCCACAGGGACTTGGGAAATTTCCTGGTAGGCCCCTTAAAACCTTTCAGATTTGGCCCCTGACTGCCTCCACGACACTAATTTCCTTCCTTTTCCCGGCTCATAAAAGTTCTCACCATGCCCTTGCCTGCTTGTCTGTATTCTAATTGTACGCAGATTTTAAGGCATACATAATTTAAGTACAAGGCTAGTGTAAGTATAATTTTACAATGGCAGACATTTAGATTTCAAGGTTAATGGATTTCTCTACATAATCTATATCAAATGCAATTTATAGCTTATTTCAATAAATATCCATTTAGAAATTTTGGTTATGTTTACACAGTATTTGCTATTCCAGGTAGTTATGTATGATTTGCATTGATCATTATGGTTTTGCATGCATTTCATTGTGTTTGTTGCCACATAACAATTGTGTGCCTTTGATCTTGACAGATACAGTGCGGAAAGGTATAATAGATATCAATATGTTTGTTGGCAATGAGCGAAGTGCAATGGTTGGTGCCATGAGTGCACTGTTAGGGACAAGCATCTGGCTCATTGTCGCAACCTTCTTCAAACTCCCAGTGTCAGGAACTCATAGTGTGATAGGTGCAACTATTGGTTATGCCTTGGTGGCAAGTGGGCCTGGTGGAGTAAACTGGGGAAAATTTGGATTAATAGGTAAGACTTGGAGCCCATTTAATAGAGAAATTGGGTTCAACATTGGCAAAGGTTTTATTACAATAACCCAAGTGAAGATCAGGTCATGCTCCCATATTTATTCAATTATAACTTGATCATAGTTATTTATTTTGAGAAGACGTCCCACAACCCCTTCTTTTTCCTTCGATACACCCAAACTGATATTTAGTGCAGTTTATAGTTTTTGTTGCCCTTCATACATTTACTGCAATTTACTGATCAACAGGCAACTGTCATTTATGCAAGAATCTCAGCTCATGTTGAAATCGACATGGGTTGAGACACCATGTCAATTTAGGCTGCGATGAGATTTTATCATGTCAACACTGTCAGTGCTAAGTCTAAACCTGATTGACACTTAGCCTTTGTTGAACTCAAGGCCACAGTATAACGTTTTTTCTTTCCACTATCTCTAAGCTGTAGTAAGGTTGTAAACATTTTATGATATTTCTATTGGCAGCAACTTTGTAAAATGAACAACAACAATCAAGTTGATTTTTATGTTTTCCCTAAGGCAAAAGCTATGGAGAGACCGAAGCTAGTAAGCTTGAATAATCCAGGTTTTTTTATTTTTAGTAAGATATAAATATACCAAAGGGGAAGAACTAAAAATATTGAAACCTTATTCTCTGAATCTTACAATCAAAATAACAATAAAGGAGAAAAATGCAAATCATTGAAGAAGGAAAATATGAAGCTTGAACAAGATTTAGCTGTGATGCAAAATATGTTAAAATAAACTTGCAATTTTGTCAAATATAACAGCAACAAGATAAACTGCACCAGGGTCCAAAATAATGAGCCTGGAATTTCCCAGGAAGGAAAAGAGAGAAACGTGAAAAAGGGAAAGGAAAAGGGGAAAAAGATACGGAAAAAGAATGGAACTAGGGTTAACCCTGGCACTCTACATGCAGATGCACTTTTTGCATTCGCTCTGAAAGAATTTTCAAAGAAAGATTTAGCTTGTCATATAGATTCTGCATTGCACTCTGTTTTTTAAGGGGCTATGTTATGGTTTTGTCAGCCTTGGCTAAGATTTTGTCTAACGCAATGTTAAACTGGCACAGAAAGCTAGAGATGTAATTACGTTATGGGAGCCCCCACTTCTCAGACCCTTTGTTCTGCCTCAAAATTAATTGCGACCGTACCTCCTACACCCCCCTCCCCTGAATCGTAGCAGGATGCTTTGTTAAGAAGTCTGGATGCATTATCATTGCCTTTTACACACCCATCAATCACATTGGTTATAACGCTCTGTTCATACAATTTATTGCAATATCTTCAAGCAAATGTGCATATATTTTGTGTAATTGATTTGTCAAAAAACTGCTGTTTTCTATTTTCATCAAATATTGGTTTGATTTTCTTTTGCATCCAAGGGGAAGCCTTTTGCATTAAAATTTTGCATAAAAGTCAAACATCTCAAATTTAATAATCACTGCTATTTTTTTCCCAACTCGACTCAACATCATGAGTGTTTTCTGGGTCTGGTGACGCAAAGTGGCGATATACGATTGATTTTGGGTGCATTGTTAGTTTCGTTAGGTAGTCATATTGTTTTTCACTAAAGTACAGAACGAAAGTCTTGTCACGTTATCTGAATATATCCCGATAATATCATTTAAAATATCCCATCTACTGGACGTGACGCAGTTTTTTGAGAAACGATGTAAACAATCTTCAAGGTCTGCCTTGCAAATAGCAAGTATTTTGCGTCAAATTAAACGTCAATCAGAAAATGTGATCCTTCTTCGTTTAAGATCTTTTGTACTAGAGTTGCCTTAGTAGGATCTGATCCTTATTGTTTCTTTATCCTTATTCTTACAGAGGATTTGCATTCAATCTTATATTTTATCCGAGTTCTTTTTTTTCTTTTCAGCTGCATCTTGGGTTATCTCGCCTGTTTTATCTGGTATAATTTCAAGTGTGTTATTTGTTCTAATTAGGAAGTTTATTCTTTCAAAGGTATGCTTATCGTTTGTTTCTTAAAGACAGCTACATCATATTTGGTTCTTGTGCAATAGACTAAGTGAAAACCGTTTCCAGTGAAAAATTTCCTGACTAGAGAGTCCACTCTCGAGAATTCGAATGACGCAGGTATTTTCCCAATTTCCGCACTTCCCCTGCAAGTGAAAATTTTTTATTCTCAGGGGCAGTCTTAAGTTCCCTCTTTGGCACAACAGAACAAGACGGGAAGTTTTATAGGGTTATAAAGAAATCGACCATTTTGACCCCGAATTATCTACCTATTAGACCCCGTTTTCTATTTAAAATTATGCTATCCCACGCTAAAGAAAAACTCATCTGGCTTGTTACACCGGGATGTTCCTCTTATACAAGTGATTTCATACGCTGTATTCTCCCAAATAAATAGATGTTTCGATTCATCCTTAGTAGGGTCAGAAGATTATCAAAGAAATATTGGGGCTAAGTCTTTTTAGTGTTTGTTTTGAAAGTTCAAAGCGCCCTATTTAGCATGCATGGAAATTCTATGCCAAAGTTATCATCAATAGTTTGATGTAAATGGATTTGTTCTAGCGATCGATCTTTAGTTTTTAGAATCAAAAATAATATACATTTGTTATTTAAGAATTTTAGGAGCAGCTGTGCTTAATGTCAAAAATGATCAATCAGATATGTTTACTGCAGTCTGAAATGAATACTGTTGTGGTCCTCTCTGGTCTCAAACTGTATCTCCCCATTTTATCACAAGTGTACGATTCCTAGCAATCCATACCTCACAAATTTTTTGAGCTGTTGTCAGAATTGTTAATTGTAAATTTTGTTTGAAAAATTACAAGGCTACGTATGTAATGAGATATGTTGTTGCTAGGATCAGGTTTCATAGGGACAATAAAAAGCTATGATTTCGGCACTGACAGCAATTTACTACATTGCTTGTTTAGTTCAACTGATTTTATTCTTCTATATTTTTTAGAGCAATCCCTTCAAGCATGGCTTGCGCGCTCTTCCTCTCTTCTACAGCATCACTATAGCTATAATTTTACTCTCAATATTTTACGACTCGCCTGAAAGTAAGTTATGCAATTTCATTATTTCCCTTTTTCTTCTTCCTTTGTACATAATTTATTATTCTATTATGGTGTAAATAGCAGATCATAATTTATAGACATGGGTAGAATAGTCTTTTGTACTTCGATGATATCTGACTTGTATGACGGCCTTCTTCCCTATGACACACGATCCAAAACTTTCAATACCTTTTTTAAAAGATTAAGCATGAATCTGAAATTTTATGTGAATCTGAAGCTTTAGGTGAATCTGAATCTTTAGGGAAATCTGAATCTTTTGGTTAATCTGAAATTTTATATATTTTATATGAATCTGAATCTTTAGGTGAATCTGAATCTTTAGGGGAATGTGAATCTTTAGGTGAATCTGAATCGTTCGGTGAATGTTTAGACTATGGGCTTATAAATTGCTTTGCTTGAATATAGTTCATTGCCAATGTTCCGAGTAAATATTGCAATGGGTATACGGATAGGAAAAATGGGATTTATCAATCATTGTAGTGTGTAAATAGAAGTGAATGGCCTGCATCTAAGGGCCCAGTGTTGCTCTATAGCTATAGAGAAAGAACAATTAAAAATTGACTAAAAAAGTTGTGCTATTTACTCCCATGGATTGGTAACACTTCCTTGCGATTCGAGAGTCAGATTAGGCAAGCCATAACCAATTGTTTCTTTGCTGTCAATCCTCGGATTGTTTACAGCACTAGGAGAGCCCTTCCATCCATTCAAAAGTATTAGACTATCATATCTGCCATAACCAATTGTTTCTTTGCTGTCAATCCTCGGATTGTTTACAGCACTAGGAGATCCCTTCCATCCATTCAAAAGGATTGCGTCCCTACCAAACAAAAAAGTTCCGTCATTTATGAATTTACGTGCCAGTGTGATTCTGGCTACGTAGGGCGCACAACCCAAAGATTGGGGGATAGGATAAAACAGCATGTTCCTTCCAACATACGAAACAAAACTGCCCCTCAAAGAGAACAGCCTCCTCGATCTTGTAGGTCGAGAAACACTGTTAAAACAAGTGATTCTGCCATTGGTCAACATCTTTTGGACAACCCAGATTGTGCAAAACTCTATAATGACGACATGTTTCGGATAATTGGCAGAGCCCGGTCGTCCTTCCATCTAGCAGTTTTGGAGTCAATCTACATAAAAACGAGAAAGCCGCCATTGTGTAGACAAAAGGAGTTCGTTTTCTCTCTTGGACTCCATTGGTAATTTTTCTTTAGGCTCGCGGCACTGATTGGTCAACTATACCGGTCTTGTGCTTGCGTTTTTCTGATTGGCTTATTTCGATCCACAACTGGGTATATATTTTTCAAACATGTTTTTCGGAACCTATTCTGACGTTTTATGCTCTGAGGAGTGTCAGACGAAAAAGCTTTAAGTATGTTGTAAAATGTTTGCTTTTTTCAAAGCCATACTCCTTATAAGTCATCCTTTCTCTTACGAGGGGCCTAACCGCTAATAAAAACTGGCTATGATTTTTGTCCAAAGCTACAAAAAGATATCTAAACGCACTATTTTCATAAGTATTTTATAAAATTGTTCGCCTTTATGATGACGCAGTTGGTCAGTCATAGGAATAATTTGATTCTTCTATATTTCAGTTTTGGATATAAATCACATGCCTGCGTATGCTGTCGTTATAATCAGCTTGGGCAGCGGGATTTTAGTTGCACTTTTAATACAGTTTGCCGTCGCCCCTTGGTTAAAAAAGCGGATTCTTGCTCAAGAAGAAATAGACATCCGCAGGGCTTCGGTAGCAGCTGAAGACGATAGGAACCTGCCAGAGTTGCAGTTACCGGACGAGACACCAGGTATCGTTATGTATCGGTTTTTTTGGAAACGGTTTTCTTTGAAATTAATTGTGAAATAGATTTACCACGAACCCTCGAATTGGCCAACTAGGGACTTCCTTATTCGAAACATTTTGAATGCGGCCTAATGCGAGCGGGGAAGGGGGGTGTTAGCGAGAGTGGAGGGTTAACGAGGATGGAGGGTTAACGAAGGTGGAGGCTCATATAAGTTTGGCTACTTCAAGCTCACTTTAAGAGACGAAGCAAAGCAAGTCAGTATTGGAAGCAAAAACATTGTGAAAATATTTCGTTTAGTTTAGTTCTTAATTTCCGTCAAATTTTTTCTTTATCATGAAATGAAATCATGTATTGTAAAAATCGGCATGTCAAGGTAGGGGCCTAGCAGCAGTTTGGTACCAAATGATGTTAAGCCAAAGTCATGATTAATCATTGCGGGTGAACGCTCTAACTTTGTAAAACCCATGATAGCCGGAAAATAGGAATGAAGTGGGATCCAGAATTTCTCATCGGTCATGGAGATGGAGATCACGTAGGGATAAATTCTAGCACATCATAACAGCAATGAAAAAAGATCTTATAACTAATACAATCTGAACTCATGAAGTTTCAAAAACCTTAGTCACGGGGCAAGCTCTTTAGGTTTGCAAAAATGATCGAAAAGTCAATAAGAACAACTAGTGATAAGGTAATTAAAAACAATTAGGACTTTTTGGAATATTTTTATCATTTAAATATTTTTGTTAATTTCAGTTCAAAACGGTGATATTGGTACAGGAATTGCAAGATTAGAGAATGGTACTCTAGAAATTCCGAGGTTTAGCGACTTGCTTAGAAGAAATTTGGAGTCGGATCAAATTACGACAGCTTCTTCTTTATCTTCATTACCCTCTATTGATAATGAAGATACGATTACAAGTGAACCAGACAGAATGGCTGGAAATATGCTTCAGCTTCCAAAGAACAAATTCATTAGAAATGTCATCGATGCCGACACTATTACTGTCTGCTCCGAGTTGTCGACTGATAGTGAAGAGAAGGCTGATGCCTCTAGGAAGGAGAATGCCTCTGAAACTAATATCGAGATGGAGGCTAACGATAAAAAGGGGGTAGGTACTAGATTTAGCATAACAAAGACCGATGATGACAATGATAATAATGATGGAGAGCAGCGGGCTGCTGATTTAAGTTTTGAAATTGAGGAAAGGGAACCACATGCTATTCAGGTAGAGATGCCTATGGATGACCAACTGACGCATCACCATCATCATATTTCAGTTCCAACAACACCAACCGTTGGCAGGAGAACTGATGGTATTAATCTTATTGATGGTGCTGCTAGAATGTCTAAAGAAGAAGAGAGGGAAAAGAAGATGAAAGAGAAAACAGAAAAGGACCAAGCGAGGATGCTTGCAAGAAGCTTAGTTACCGATGAACCAAAGACCGGTCGACTATTTCAGTTTTTGCAAATAATGACGGCGTCTTTTGGAGCCTTTGCACACGGTGGGAATGATGTCAGGTACGCTTTTGTTCACATGCTTCAGCAGTTAGTTTAATATCGCTGAAGCAAGCGATATGTCCTTTTGAAAATTTATGTTGAGTATAAGCCATGCAAGTTAGCATGAAAACTTTAATTGAATTAGATACATTTGTGTCAAGGTTATGATACCACTTACTAGCCTCCCTAGCAGTTACTTTTTGTGATACAGTAAATAGTCATTATTTTCGACTCTACCATGTTTGACAATACGCTAACAGTTGTTTTGGGGTATTTCCAAATCTCTTGAACCCCAATCTGCTTATTTTTTGTGATCATTGTCATTCTGGCAGTTATCATCCATAAAACATTGTTAGGCTTTCGTTCTCATTCAGGTGGTGGCCTTGGTTGTGATAAAGTTTGGCTCAAAGTAGTTAACTTTCTTCTACCGATTTGCCCTTGAGTTGTGCTACTTTTGAAAATCATAGGGTAGGTAGGAAAGTAACGACTGCTGTGTACCCCCTTGTAGTTGTTTTCTACAGACCAGCTATCAAGGAAATATATTGAAATGAAGCTAAGTAAAAAGTACTTCTTGCCTGGTTATTGTATATCACAAGCAATGATATCATGATTTCGAATTTTGAGTCTACCCTTGAAATATTTTAAGTTTATTTCAATGTTGTGTATCCTTTTTAAAACTAAAAATCAGATCCTCCGATGCTTGCATTCTACAAGACAATATCTGTGCTCTCTTACGGCAAGAAAGACATTTAAAGGTTCCTAAATTCATAAATAAATTCCAGTGACGTATCTTTATATGCCACAGACTCATTACCTTTACCCCTTTCCCCTGAGGTCAATGTTGGGTGAGATGGCTATGATTTCATTTCCTTTAATTTGGTATTCTTTATGCACAAAGAATCTCTTCAGCAATAAATAGAAAGAATGGGGTACATGCTACAGGATAAATGGGGTTGCACACAGATCCAAGCTCTTCTGATACAATATGGATGATGCGAAACTTGCTTAGATTTTTATGGTCCGTTAGCATTTCTGGTTAGGATTGTGGCTATTTTGAAAATTTTTGTATGTATGTCCATCCTTAATTTTTTATAGTAATGCAATTGGCCCGGTAATCTCCATCTGGGTAATTTATGACACTGGTATGATACACAGCAAAGCAGCAACACCTATATGGATATTACTTTATGGCGGTGTTGGAATAGTCATTGGCCTGTTTTTCTGGGGTAGAAGGGTCATTGAAACAATCGGAGAAAGTCTTACGCCTGTGACGCCTACAAGGTATGTGCCAACCATGATTAAAATTTTCATCGGGTATATCGAAAGCATTTCATTTTGTGACAAAAAGCATAGAGGCATTTATTATTCTTTTATCGTTTCTATTTAGGCGGTTGCTCTAGCCGACCCTTTTTCCAAGCACAAATACCTTTCCTGCTTCTCCCCATATCTTGTTTTCTAAGACTTGAATTGGATAAAGGGGTCTCAGTAAAAATGTGGTTTGGACGTGCTAAAACTACTGGATCAAAATGCGTGATATCATCAATGACGAAGATATGATTATGGTCTGAATACGCTCCCCCTCTTTGATGGCTACCCACTTGTTAACTATCTGCATAACTATCCACTCTTTGGAAAAGACCTAATATATTCACACTAATAATCAATATCATCAAACGATTCTTTTATAGTGGATTTTCAATTGAAGTTGGAGCTGCAATGACGGTCCTTTTGGCTTCAAATCTCAGTATCCCAGTGTCAACCACACACTGCAAGGTTGGCTCTGTGGTGTTTACTGGTCGCGTCAGGTCACGTGATGTCGTCGATTGGTCTTTGTTTGTTAATATCGTTGTCTCATGGGTGGTCACTATGCCAGTGACTGGTAAGTATTAAAGTAATAAGTATTAAAAATTATTGTCATTTTTTCTACAATTTCATTTTACTGGTGTGTAATAATGTCCAATACTTTTTAACTGTAATACAGAATTACTAGTATTACAGGATGAAATAACTACCATTTTATTGTGATAGTGGGAAAATGTTCTACATCATTTTGTTACTCGTAATACAGCAATCAAGACTTACGAGGTTGATATTCTACAGTATTGCCATGCTACCGCTATCTTGTTCCACTGTAGACAACAGCACAACTGTGTAACCGTATTATAGCATTTCAGGTTTGTTTACCAAGATATCACTGCTACAGTATTGTGGTGCTACTGTATTTTGTTACATTGTTAAATAACAGCACAGCGCTTTAACCTTATTAAAGCATTGCAGGTTGATATTACCACAGTATTGCAGTATTTCGTTGCTACAGTACTGTCGTGGTACCATATTGAATTTCCTCTATTAAATAAAGACATGACTATATAACTGTAAAAAAGCATTACAGATTGATATCACTACAGTTTAGCTGTGTTATATTGTTACAGTATTAACAGATGTTTACATTATTATTGCAGTATTGAGAAAGAGCTTTAACATTTTTTCAGGCCTCATCTCAGCTGGTGTCTATGCCGCCATTATGGAAATCTTATAGCAATCGTGCACCAAGCTGCAACTGGCACTCCGATAATAAACGAGCGAGGTTTGGTTTTTGAAAAGTATATTTTGTATCCTGTACGGAAGATGAGAATTTTTATCAACTCAAAGAAAGAAGAACAATTGTGTACTTGCCATAGTAAATTCCTTGTATGATTTTTGTAAATAATTTGAATTTTAACTTTGAAGATCATTGATTAAATTGATTCGATAATTTGAACAATTTAATCCAATTAAGACATGATTTTTAGAAGTGTTTGTTGAAATAGTTAACATAATCTGTTTAAAATTGAAATACTAATGAATATTGTGCGGCCAAAAAAGTGTATTTAATAAAACTGAAATATATGACCAGAATTCTAAAATTGGAGGAGACTCGTAAGCCTCGATGCGAAGAGGAGGTGAAGTAGAAATAAAAGATGTCTTAGGGAGTAGGTTACGTTTAGAATGCCATATCAAATAGCCTGAATACTTTTTGTCAATTATGTTGGCCGTAATATTTCTTCTTAATACACATTCTTGTTTCTAGATGTTTTTAATATATTTACATTGGTATTTGTATAAATCATTTAGCCAATGCAATATAATGGCAAATCTAGTCTGTTGGTTTGGGACTTCGCTCTCTGGGTTTATCAAGCAAATTGAACTGCGATTATTTGCTAGCAAATACAAGCTGTCCTACTCGAGCGCACACCATATGTTGAATAAATTCACTTAAAATGTTGGGGCCTGGTTAGAAACTGATAGTTTTTAGATATAAAACCCTCAGCTGCATAGATGCTCTCCCAAGGCCTCGACATGTACTTTGATTCGCTGTCAAAGCAAGGCAATCAATGAAAGGCAATCAAGGCAAGAATGTTATTGTGCTATTTCAGAATTTCTATGCCTTCAGCAAGTCCTTATCTTCAAATCCGGACATGTACACACAGGCCAATGTCTCGTGTAAGGTATATGTACCCAGAGTATTCCTGAATGTAATTTCGTTATCTTCGGTGTCATGGGAGTTCTGGATTGCTAGGTACACAAGTTGTGCCTGAGCCCGTTTAATGTCTTTTTAAGGATCCTTAGTTTTTCTAAACCTCAAAAATATATCTTGGCGTAAACAGAAACGTTGGCAGAAGGCCAATCGCAGAAACGCCCATTTCAGAGACGCCATTTTCAGAAACAACAGTTTGGGAAGCGCCAGTCTTAATATTTGATAAATAAACTTTTATCAAATGTATATTTGCAAACATATTTTTCTTCAGATAATTTATAAATTCTAGAGCTGACAAAGTTCATTTAACATTGATTTCACACCATTAACTTGGCAAATGTTTTGCGGCTGCAAAAGCAAGTTTGAGGTTGGCTGTGTTAGAAATTTCATATACATCGACAGTTTGAAAATCCTCATTCACATTACACCACCCTAATCCTTCTAGAATCGACGGTTGGAATAGGCATGTTTTGAAGGGATACACATGGTGATGATTTGTCTCATGTCAAATGATGTTTGAAGAGAAACGCCAATTCTCTGCAAATTTTCACTGCACAACAAAAATCTTTTAGGCCTTATGGAGGTGGGATTGGAACTGACCTGTAAACATAAGCGCCAACCACGTGGAGGCTTGGGGACCTCGGGAATTTTTTAGAAATGTATTCGAGGGGCCTCGGCTACCCCTTGCAGCTTTAAATGCGGAGAAATTGTTCGAGCTTCCACAGTGCGCAGACTCAGAAAATAAATTGGTTTTTTCCAATATAGGAAATTAAATTGTGATTGAAAAATAGATTCCATTTGGGGGCCCATCGCTCGTTTCCTTAAGCCCCCAGAATTTCGTCTGATCCTTCTTCTTCAGCACTTTTGTGGGAATCTGTTCCATCTATATGGCATCTGAGACAAAATAATACTTTCATTATGTAAGCTGTCAGCTTGACGGCGACGCTGTGCGACAAAGTGTTTGGAAGCCAATCTTACTTGCTTCATTTGACTCTTGCCAGCTCCTTTTTGACAGGGATCTACCAATTGCGTCAAACGGTCTCAAACTCACATCTTTTTTCGTCACCTATGCGATGACTCTTATCGCGTTTGTCTGATTATGCCACACGTCCAAAATCTGAAAGTAAGGCCGCAGTTCAATCTAGTTCCTAATATGGCAGTTTCCACAGCAGTTCGGGATATTTTCACTTTTGGCTTTCCGAAAAAACAGGAGGAAAAGAAAATGTGTTTTGGTCGCTGTAGGCCTTCCGACAAGAAAGTGTTTGTTGGAATTCGCTGTCTCACTTGTTATGCTTTGTTATGTTATGCACTGATGCAGTATGGAAAATAAAAGGATTATTCTCACACAAAAATATTCCTCTGATGTTGAAATATATCTGGCGAAGGTTTCGACATTTTGGAGAATCAAAAAAATCAAGAGCTGCCATGAAAACTTTCAGATCTCAGCTAAATCCTATTTTTCATTCAAAACCTGAATTAGTCATGATCTTTACCTTCTCATATTTTAATAAATATAACATTGATGATGGAGCAAAACGAAACGTTAATAACAAATGTACTACAGACGAGCTAAAAGTATTCTAATTTACAAATATACTTATCAATTACAATCATTATTACAATCTATATGTTAACTTATCATTCACTAAAGGGAAAAGTTATAAACATAAAATCCTGTACTGTATTTTATTCAATTAGAGCGCGCTAACTTTCAGGACCCTCATTAAATCAAAGTATAAACTTTTAAATTTTCTTGCAACTAATGTAAAACGAATTTTTGGGAAAAGGAGTTTCACCGTTCTATTGAGAATTTTTTTTAGTTAAGTAGGTATATTGCAAAGCTAAATATGGTTTAAACTGATACAGTGGTGGAGATCGTGGGGTTTTTTGCTAAATTGTTGGTTGAATTCGAGGGGCGAATCACTATAAGAAAATCTCGTACACCTTTGATGGAAATCCTATTGTTTTATCTGAAAATCCCTAGAAATCCTTTTGTTTTAGGAAAAATCTCGTACACTAGTTGCAAGAGTGAATTGCCGCTCGGTTGAATCCAGTGAGGTAGTGCTATCAAAATAACAGGTGGGGAGAGGGGGGTGGGCTCTTGCTCAAAATGTTGCGAAAAACAATGGCAAAAGTAGAATTTTGCCAATTTTTGGCATCAACAAGGGGCCTGAGCCCCCTGAACCCTCTAAGCTCTCTAGCAATACACCCCTGGTTGAAACACATTTAAGCGTTTTTGTCGTTAATTTTTGTCGTTTTTCTGGAAATTTACCAATTTTACCAATTTGAGATCTTGCAGCCCCCCACCCCCACTCCTACCTGCAAAATGAATTTCCGCCTCGGAAATCGCACGAGGGTTTTTTAAAAGATTTTGGAGACCTCAGCTACGGGTACCCTGGGTACCAGAGCCTCATAAAGCTAGGATAAAGTATTGTAGACAGGTGCAGTGGCAAAGAATGAGAAATCCTTGCTCAAAAAAATTTTCTGTGACTAGTTTCTTACTATGTTTCTGAGACTAAATCATCGAAACTCTGGTACTCAGTGTAAGCAACAGTTTCTTTCGCTACTTTTTCTTGCTCTCAAGGTGTATTTAACGATAAACTGCCACAATATTTTAAACATATATTCCCGCCTAAACAAGGACAAATCTTTGAACAACACCTGTAAAATCATACAAATTTTTCTAATAAGAATATCTAAATTTTCTGGGCCTCCATATTCTTTAAAATTGAAATGAAATCTAAGTGTATTCTTTATTAACATGAAAGCACATGAAAGCAAAAGGTTTGGTTTGCATCAGTTTGGATAATCGCCTTGAACTTCATTTAATAGTTTGAAAAGCGAAAATTCAAGTTTAAAACAAACAAAAATCCTTAGATAAACAAAACATCTTTCTTTTGGCGAACTTGTTGCCTGGCTTTTATTTTTAATTTACTTTTAAATTTTAGCAATCTGGATCCTCCATATTCTCATAAGCTATATTATTTCACAAAAAATTTTTAAAAAAGCTACTACCTTCTACCTAAAGAATCACACACAAAATACATTCGTTGTAGTTTTTTAAAGCTAAGAAGAATGCTGACAAATTAAAAGCAAATAAAAGGCAATCTTATTTGCATTTTGACCTAGGGGCAATTCACTCCATGAAAATCTCGTACACCTTTTGTAAAAGTCCTATTGTTTTATCTGAAAATCCGCAGAAATCCATTTGTTTTAGGCAAAATCTCGTACACTGTTTGCAAGAGTGAACCGTGACTCGATTTTGACAATGTTCAAGTATATTTTTATCTTTGTGTTTAGTTTTGGCAGTACGGAGTTACTTGGTTACATTAATGAAATCGTTTGAAATGAATGCTTCTACTGATATAAGATGGTAGTGAGTACTTGCAAGGGCCTAGATAGCTACAGCTATTTGATTGGGGAAGATGAAATAATTATATTTTATTTTGGTTTGGTGGAAGGGCCAACCCTAATAAAATTGAGTGTGGCAATAGCTATTTTTAACAATATAAAGCATTTTACTTATGTTGAAATATTTTGGGGGAGCAAGTCCTTGAGTACTTTATAAGATCTGTACATAGGGGTAGAGGTAGAGCGACTAGCTCCTTTCCTCACTGTTTGGCCTCCCCAGTTTTTCCATAGCCCGGAATAGTCTTATCTTTGACCCCTCCTCCCCGTCGTCTACGATTTTAATGAGCAAAGGTTAACGGTGATGTTGACAGTTTTTCGAGTGCCTTCCACCTAAGCGGAACCTCTCGTAACTTAGTCATTAAAGATTTGCCCTTTCTTTGTCCATATAAGGAGTATGGTATACGATTACATCATACACTGGCTGCCGGATCAACCTCACATGACTTCCAACGAAGTGACCCATAAGAAGGGACGACCGGAAATTTTAGCATCAATCATAACGGGTGCTGCTTAGAATCAAAGGATCTGGCACCTCTTACTTGAGCGGCTTATAGTAAAAGAATGAAATTTAGTAGTCATTATGTTTTTTCGCTTTGTGTGTCGAAGTGACATTAGGAATGGCACTTGGGTTCTCGATTGTGTTGTGTTGAGCCTTTTCAGTGACTGATTGTATTGTAATTAGTTGTAGAAAACAACGGGGAGCTTTGATTGGTAGAGTGAAGAGGCTTTTGTTTAAAGGAAGTCTGGCACCGGTCATCACTGCTCCAACCGTATGGATACCTGAAAGTTGAGGAATCAAGTTTTCAAGGCGGCTATTTTTATCAATCGGATCTGGATATCAAAGATACAATCCTTGCACAAGTCCATCATGGTTGTAAGTTGAAATTTTCTTGCTTTTTTCTTCTGCGCCATATAATTCCTAACAAAAAATGTTACCAATCAATCTTTTTGACCTGAACAGCTATGGCCTTTCCTTGGCAGTGAGTTCTGACCTATCAACTTCGATTGACCTTTTAGTGAAGGAAGTATTGGTGTTATTTTAAGTATGAATTTGACAAACGTGTTTGATTGCATATTCTTTTCAGTTATCGTATTATATTCAGGAAATGCATATAATCGTATTATATTAAACTAATAGATTGATACTGCGCTGATGTTATCCATAGATTCTTACTAATTTAACCTCTTGTGTCCATAAAAGCAGTCCTCGCGGTAAAATTACTTGTTGAGATCTTATTTCTTTTTTGCAAAAACACCGCTATAGAAGTCACTGGATTAAACAAATAAAGAAATTATGGAATGAATCCGCAAGTCACGCCAAAATCTTTTCATAAACTTAAATTTCCATTTACAGCGTCCTAGCCTAAAGAGATTTCGATTTTGATTAGGAAAAGTTTTGAGCTTACCATATGACATTTTGCCGTCACACATTTCATAGAAAGCTTAATCCTCTTTCTTGGCTCGTCCTTAAATTGTCTGTAGATACTTACAAAAATCCGGTGCTCCCCGATGATTTCGCTACAATGGGTTTCTTGAGAATAATAGGGTTGTTATTTTGTCATATATCTCTGGCTTGCCGCTTGTTAGAAATCAAAATACGAAAATGCATCTTCCATAAGAACAGCTCAGTTTCTATTCAAAGCGTGTGCTCGTTAAAAGTATGCCTGTAGGTAAAACATTTTCCAAGTCGGCTGGCCTGCTAGGAAAATTCATCAGTTGCAAAAGCAGACTCTAAACTTTATCATCTAACGCGACCTCCACCCCCAAAAAGGTTAGCAATCAAAACGCTGAAAGCCTTGCAGAATGAGCAGGCAGAAAGCGTAGTTATCTTGTAATACCTTTGATAATTCTTTTGTTTTAAAACATAGTCAAGTGTTTTTTCAACTGATACAACGATCTTTTCTGGTACCACTTAACAGAAATAGTAGAATCGCAGTGGCCTAACTTTTACCTTTTTACCGAGAACAGTAGAATGCCTATATTTTCTCCTGCATTACAACGTAAGCATCTGGTACTCAATTTTGAGTTTTTGTTCCTTTCCTAGACAGACGATGTTATGATTTTCCTGCCCCCTCCCCTAATTACCAAATTCAACGTTGATGCATAAACGCTCTCAGGGACGTGGCTAGGAATTTCAAAGATAAATTGATATAACAGGGCATAAGTTAACTTTGAAGACGACAGGCACTCAATTCTTGGAACGTATAGGGCAGAACGAGGAGCAATTCATTCTTTCAAATAGCGTACAAGATTTTCCCTAAAACAAAAGGAATTCAGAGGATTTTCGGATAAAACAATAGGATTTTCACAAGGTGTATGATATTTTCTTGGAGTGATTTGCCCCTCGGGGCAGAAAAGCCCCCAGCGTGATCAAGGATCTCGGAATCTCACTATTCTGAGCCTATTCATAGTGAAATTTTATGAATAGGCAGTCTATAAGATTTATTCAAATACGAGTGTTTTTCGCATCCAGCAATCCCCTCTACTACGGTTTCCAGGCATGTGACTAGGATTGCTGAATGTTCGTTTGGAATAAAGTTCAAGTGTAATGAATAGTGGACTGCAAAAAGCATAACCCCTCAAAAACCACAAAACCCAGTTTTTAATGAACAAACAGAACTAATCGTCATCAATAAGGAATGCAAAGAGCAATAAGGAATGCAAAGAGTATTCCCTGAAAGGTTTTGAGATTGATCCAGTTCTGCTATGTTCTCGTTACGTACTCAGAAATGCATGAAATACCAAGTTGTTGACCTTGCGTTCTATAGATTTGCAGTACAGTATACTGATTTCCAGAGCCTAGTCAGTATTCCATGTTGTATACCAAAGGACATCCAATCATTATAAGTCACATGATGGTTCAGTTGATGGCTCATTCCCTGGCGATTTTGGTCTTTTTCCAAGCAATTTTTTGTTATCACCAAGCACTTATCATTTCTCAAAATAATACGAAAGGTTTTGCCTTTGTCAAATTTCGTATAAACGACTAGCTTAGTTGGTATTAAAATGGCTCATATTTGGACGAATCTTCTTGCATTTGCATTTTCACAATTGAAAAACCATCTGGCAAGCAACGAACCAGGGTTGTCTAAGTTGAAAACATTGAGACTATGAAAGGAAATTCGCTGCGAAAAAGATCTTTTGATATTCTCAACGTGACCCATGTTACGAGTCTTAGTGCATTTTGCTCTTCACAAAAACTTGATTTCTGATTGGATCAAAACGACTTCAACGCTTCCTCAAATGGAAATATACGATTCAATCCGTTACAGGCCCCCTCTAATAAATACAAAATCAAAAAACCCCAGCGTTTAATATATTTTCTCTGATATTGCAGAACAACACGCTGCCGACTATTGGGATTGGAACTCATTATCCAAACCGCTTATTTGTTGGTTCCCTGCCTGGTAGTGTAAGTGTTGCTCTTATATAACATCTCAATTAATCTCAAAGGTCACCTTTTCATACCTGTAAAATGCGTGGGATTTTCTGCTTTACCTAATTATTTCTACTTTTTCTATTGTACTATTTATTGTTCCACCTTTTAGAATGGATGAAGCTTATACGTCAATAGTGTTCATAAGCTTAAAAGCCTAATGTTTAATATTCTTCTTACAACCTTAAGAAAGGTTTTCGTTTCCCAAACAGTATATTAAATTCTCAGATTTGCTTTTTCTGGTGGTTTATATGAGATAACCCAAAAGTATCACTATTGTTTTTGGAAGTGAGAAACACGTGAATGACACCCGGAATAGGTTTCCGCTAATCTGGTCGATCAAGTTTAATTACCGTCGTATTGCAAGTTTGGGCTTACAGCGTTTAGTTGTATTTTGCTATTTTCCACATACTGGGTTTGATAGACGACGGATGCTCCTTTGTTTTTCAACTTACCCATTTTAGAACTTATTTGATTGTTATGGATATTTCTTGACCCTTTGATCAAACAAAAACACCCGAAAATGAAAATGGTCCAAAGTCAACATCGTAACTTACTGCAAGGAGTGTCCCATGCCAAAACGTTATCTTTCAGCGAAGAAGCAATAATTTCCTGTCTCAGCAAGTACAATAAAAATAGCACGGCTTTTGCAATGTACGAAGAATGTGGAGGAATGGTACTTCGATATTATGAATTGGCGAAGTGGACAAAACTGATGATGATGATGGTTGATGATGATGATGATTATGATTATGATGATGGTTGATGATTATGATTATGATGATGATGATTGATGATGATGATTATGATGACGACCATGACAATGATGACGACAACGAAGATTCCAAATGTATTAAAAGTCTGAACTTTTCTAGATGCGCCTCCAGTCTGTTTCCCAGACAACTAAGAACCTTTATGTTTTATGAGAATGCCTAAAAAACGGCGGCACAAGCTATGACGCAGCAACTTTACACAACTCATATTTTGGGGCTCTGTGAGTGGGACCTAACTGGGATTTTGTTTTTTTGATATGACGAAGGACATTTTTTGCTTGATAGCATAACACGAAAAATTATTTTTATTCGGTTGCTTTATCAAAATGCGTTTCGCATATTTACAGTTTCTTGATAAACGGCGGGAACTGCTATGACGCAGTAACTTTACAAAGCCAGATCTTTGGATTCCACTATCAACCTTTGCAGAAGGAGAAATCGATGCGTGCCTAACGATCTCTAACGACCCGCGCTGACAAAACGGTTCCAGCATAATGATCTCGCGGCAGTGCAATTACTTGATTACGAAGGGGAATCTTTCGTACGTAATTGTGAGCAGCCAAACTTTTAATTTCGTAAACTTCCTAGTTGCGAGTGCAAAGATTTCTTTAATTCGGCAATTGAACCGTTTGATTAAGAAATGTAGTCACAGTTCCCCAAATGATTAATTGATCATTCTCGTAACTGTTAGTCTGACAGACTTTTAACAAATTCCCGTTGTTTCTATGTTTTTCCTACACCAAACTACCTTATCCAACGGGGTCTGAAGAATTTGGAATGAATTTTGGATAAACCCTAGAGAAAACTGGAAAGTACCTGCAAGCATTTTGCGACAATTTTGCATAGCCTGGAAACTTTCGAATAACTTTCACCGACTTTGCAAAACTTGCGAAAAACTAAACAGATTTCTGATACTTGCAATATATTTGAATTTCCCGCCCTTGCTTCAGACTCTTTAAATGTCCCGAGTTCCTTGCATGAAAGTTAATTCTTGAAGAAACTCGTGAAACGTGAAATCGCATATTCCCGCACTTTCTTTTGTATCCCACATAGCAAATTGCAAATTATACGTCTAATTACGTTGACGCTTGACAGGATGAAAGCACCATTCTCGATTACGAGAAGTTTCTGATCTATTCTGGCTACCGTTCAACATGCACGTGCAGAACCAATTTTAACTGCCCAACGTCACGAGCAAAACTAAAGGTGATTGGTCGAATCTAAGAGGATGACCACAAAGGGGATCTCAGGCTAGCAGCCGAACCCAATTTAATAGCACGATTATAGACCTAAGTGTCGATTAGCGAACCTCAATTGCCCACTTAATCGGGAAACTCACGATTCTCGATTGTTCGTTTGGGAAAATTGGGAAAATCCTTTGATTTTGGCATTCTATGCCTGCATTGTTTCGATTGTCCCCCGCCTTTGAATTCGGCTTCTATGTTTCCATTGTTGAATTCATCAAAATGCCGATCCATTGTTACACAATTGGCAACAATTCTACATATATATATATATATATATATGGATGCCCATCGAGCCGAGCAAAATCCCCCCTTCATGTACTCATTCTTCGTACATAAAAATAGCACGGCTTTTGCAATGTACGAAGAATGTGGAGGAATGGTACTTCGATATTATGAATTGGCGATGTGGACAAAACTGATGATGATGATGATTGATGATGATGATAATGATGATGATTGATGATGATGATGATTGATGATGATTGATGATGATTGATGATGATGATGATGATGATTGATGATGATTGATGATGATTGATGATTATGATGATGATTGATGATGATGATTATGATGACGACGATGACAATGATGACGCCAACGAAGATTCCAAATGTCTTAAAAGTCTGAACTTTTCTAGATGCGCTTCCAGTCTGTTTCCCAGACAACTAAGAGCCTTTATGTTTCGTGAGAATGCGATTCACAGACTTGGAATACCTAAAAAACGGCGGCACAAGCCATGACTCAGCAAGTTTACAGAACTCATTTATTGGGGCTCTGTGATTGGAAGCTAACTGGGATTTTGTTTTTTTTATTTGACGAAGGACATCTTTCGCTTAACAACATAACACGAATAATTCGGTTGATTTTTCAAAATACGTTTCCCATATTTAAAGTTTCTTTATAAACGGCGGGGCGGGGACGTCTATGACGCAGCAAGTTTCCAGATCTTTGTACTATCAACCTTTGCAGAAGGAGAAATCGATGCGTGCCTAACGATCCCTAACGACCCGCGCAAACAAAAAAGGGTTCCAGCATAATGATCTCACTGCAGTGCAATTACTTGGTTACGAAGGGGAATCTTTTGTACGTAATTGTTAGCAGCCAAACTTTTTATTTCGTAAACTTCCTAGTTGCGAGTGCAAAGATTTCTTCAACTCGGCAATTCAACTATTTCATTAAGAAATGTAGTCACCGATCCCAAGATTAATTAATTGCTCATTCTCGTAACTGTTGGTCTGACTTCAGACTTTAAACAAATTTCCATTGTTTCTATGTTTTTCCTACACCAAACCACCTTATCCAACGGGGTCTGAAGAATTTCGAATGATTTTTGGATCAACCCCCCACCAACCCTAGAAAAAACTGAAAAGTACCTGCAAGCATTTGGCGACAATTTTGCATAGCCTGGAAACCTTCGAATAACTTTCGCCAACCTTGCAAAACATGCGAAAAACTAAACAGATTTGTAACACTTGCAATATATTCGAATTTCCCGCCCTTGCAAGGAAGTTAATTCTTGCAGAAGCTCGTGAAACGTGAAATCGCATATTCCCGCACTTTCTTTTGTATCCTACATAGCAAATTGCAAATTATACGTCTAATTACGTTGACGCTTGACAGGATGAAAGCACCATTCTCAATTACGAGAAGGTTCTGATCTATTCTGGCCACCGTTCAACATGCACGTGCAGAACCAATTTTAACTGCCCAACGTCACGAGCAAAACTAAAGGTGATTGGTCGAATCTAAGAGGATGACCACAAAGGGGATCTCAGGCTAGCAGCCGAACCCAATTTAATAGCACGATTATAGACCTAAGTGTCGATTAGCGAACCTCAATTGACCACTTAATCGGGAAACTCACGATTCTCGATTGTTCGTTTGGGAAAATTGGGAAAATCCTTTGATTTTGGCATTCTATGCCTGCATTGTTTCGATTGTCTCCCGCCTTTGAATTCGGCTTCTATGTTTCCATTGTTGAACTCATCAAAATGCCGATCCATTGTTACACAATTGGCAACAATTCTACATATATATATATATATATATATATATGGATACCCATCGAGCTGAGCAAAATCCCCCCTTCATGTACTCATTCTTCGTACATAAAAATAGCACGGCTTTTGCAATGTACGAAGAATGTGGAGGAATGGTATTTTGATATTATGGAATGGGGAATTGGTTTTTTTATTTGACAAAGGATATTTTTTGCTTGATAACATAACACGAATAATTATTCTTATTCGGTTGCTTTATCAAAATGCGTTTCGCAGATTTACACTTTCTTGATAAATAGCGGGGAATGCTATGACGCAGTAAGTTTACCAAACCCAGATCTTTGAATTCCACTGTCAACCTTTGCAAGAAGGAGAAATCGATGCGTGCCTAACGATCCCTAACGACCCGCGCTGACAAAACGGGTTCAGATCTTTCGTACGTAATTGTGAGCAGCCAAACTTTTAATTTCGTAAACTTCCTAGTTGCGAGTGCAAAGATTTCTTCAACTCGGCAATTCAACTATTTGATGAAGAAATGTAGTCATAGACCCCAAGATTATTCATTGATTATTCTCGTAACTGTTGGTCTGACCTCACACGTTCCAAATTTCTATTTTTTTACGTTGTTCCTGCACCAAACTATCTTATCCAACATATTGACCCTTTCTTTAAAAAAAATATGGGGTCTGAAAAATTTCGAATGAATTTTGGATCAACCCCAGAGAAAATTGGAAACCCCTGCAAGCATTTTGTGACAATTTCGCAAAGCCTGGAAATCTTCGAATAACTTTCACCGACTTTGCAAAACTTGCGAAAAACTAAACAGATTTCAAACACTTACAATATATTTTCCACGAATCATGCATGAAATTAATTCTTGCAGAAACTCGTGAAATCGCATATTCCCGCACTTTCTTTTGTATCCTACATAGCAAATTGCAAATTATACGTCTAA